GAAACCATGGAAGAACTTGATTAGTGGCTCCACTGTAGACTGGATCATGAACAGATAACTTTCTTATACAGGACCACCTGCCATGTGATAGTGGTACCAAATATGTACTAGTCCCCAGCCACCAATCAAAAGAATCCCTCAAAGACATGGATGATCACAGGCTGTTCTGATCAATACAATATCTAAAGTGAAGTTCACTCTTCCAAGAGAACTTGGAATAAAATTGCAATAAAATTCATCAGTACACTATGACACCAAACATTCATTTTCTGAAGTTCATCTAATTTTCCAATACAAACTAAGTTTGCAACAAATTACTTTTGAAACCATAGAGACGACATTGTTAACAGATTCAGTACTCATTTGCACCACAGTGTCATTATCAGAGACTGGTCTACAGTACAGGTCTGCCTGTTGTCCTGTGACCGCCATATGTATGCTATGGGACACATATGCCTAAATTTACATTGACACTCTTTTGCTTCATCTCCTACTCTCTCTCCTTCCCTTCACCTCTCACAATATGAAAAGGCACGAATTGTTCCTATAGTTGGCTCACTGAAGGAGTTAGAGTCTCTTGATCATTTCCCCTCACACATGATCATTTGACTCTCTGCCAGGGATTATGCAACACAAAGGATATCAGTAGAAGTAAAGCAATGGGACTTTCTAACACAAATAAACCATAGGAATTAGATTGAATTCTTTTTAAATATTTATAACTCTGTGTGTGTGTGTGTGTGGGTGTGCGCGCGCGCGTCTGTGTGTCACTCAACATGGCTGCTGGAAAAAGAACTCTGTTCATCCACGAGAACACAGAAGCTCTATACTGATGACACATCTCCACACTTATGTTCTTAGTAAGTTCCTCCTCTGTGGTATCTTCATACATGAAATTCTTAGACAAAGTGAAAATTATCATTTCCACCTGACTGCGAATAGACATTTCTGCCACCTTAGCACTCGGGAGGCTGAAGCAAGGGGCATCTTCAAGGGAAGCCTTAGCTAAATAGCAAGTCAATAACAAAAATCTTCAAAATTTAATTTACTATTGGTATTGAAGATATTTATGGACCTACCCATCAAAATAAATGGAAATTGAGCAAGACAAAACATGACTAGAGATTAATTTCTAAGAGGTGGAATAAGGTAATAAATTAGAATAGTCAAAAGAGATGGCATAGAGGGATGATTAAGTTCCCAGACTAGATACATATATGTGTGTGCACTTCCAACAAGCCACCATGGTGAGATTCATCATCAGTTAGGCAACACACAGCCCTTGCAGCTGGTGTCTGGTGGTCAAATATGTATGGAAATCATTAGGACATTGGGTGGTTTGAAAATCTATTGTGCTTAAAATCATCTGTTTGTCCAAAGCACACACAGATGATTATCTATGTGTATAATATCCTAGTGTCTATACTGGATGCAAAGTTGAAACTTTGTCAGTCTTGTGAGAGAAATGTTTTGTGATACCAGCACACATACTCACAAATATTTTCTGAGGAGGCACAGATGTCACACCGCTAATTAGTTTCCCTCTCTTGTCCTGTGATATTTTTAATTTTTTTTGTAGAGCATGCCCCCAAAGTAATAGATTATAGAACACTATGTGACTGTTTACTACCCAAATTCCTTCTGATTTATAATTATAAATTCTTATAGAAACATAATCAGCATTGTTATTACCACCCCCAAACAGGGAGTACTAGTTTGTCTCAGATAACTCTCAAACACGTTGTGCTTTTTCTAATGCATACTAACAGGATAATAACAAAGACACATCTTCCAGTTTTCAACAGTTCTTACTAAAATTTGAATGTGTAGTAATGCTATCCTCATTTTTTTTCAGAACACAGGTGTGAGAAATACTATGTGTAGATACTGAAAATGTGGTAAATATATACAGTGAAAAAATTTTTACATGGTTATAAGCATTTAAGTTATTGAATTTGAGGGCAGTTGGATGGGATTTGGAAAATATCATGGGTGAGTGAACCTGACACAGAAAGAAAAATGCTTAGGTTTTTTTCTTGTATGCAGATTCTAGCCACCACATTTCCATGTATATTTAACCATGCATATAGGAAAGACCATAAAGATGGGGGCAATTAGAGGGAAGAAGAGTTTGTTAGAACACATCACATAAAATAGTGGCAGAGAGTTTAACAGTGGGTTAAAAGGTACAAGCAAAGAGAGCAGTTGTAATATTTGAAGAATAGGGTGTATGTATATGTGGTAAAAAATCACAACATCCATGTTACAGAGAAAGCTAGTTTGAAACCATAGTTAAAAATATAGATGACTCAATGGATATTTCTCCATTGATGATCACTGCTGCCCCAGGTGCCATCAGTTACTAATGAGAAATTAGTGCCAAGGTTGGGACACTTTCCTTCTATTTCTGGCCCAGGAGTAACTAAGGTCTCCTTCAAACTGCAGGTTATTGTCAATATTCACTGTTGCCCACCACAAAGCTTTTACTAAAGGAAACATATGGTTTGTAAGCAGTACATGGAGAAATTAAGTTGTAACTTAGCTAAAATTTTTCTTTTTAATAAGTAGCTCCAAAGTAAAAGCCCTTGTTTTATTACTTGGTAGAAAAAACACTTAATTATTACCAGCAAACCACAATAACAACTGGTCAAGAAAAATATGTATTTTCAAACACTAGAATGAATAATAGAAGAATAAATCACCCCTCTCTATATAGATTTGTGAAGACCTCCAAGGAGAAAACACATATGCACAGTTCTTAAACTACTCATTTTTACATAGTGTAAGAGCTGTCTGTTTCATGTATGTGTATGTGTGCTTGTTTGTCATATGAATGTACATGACTCCTGGAGCAAGAAAAGAATCATAAGTCGTGTGCACGATGTGCAAAATTACAGTGTAACTCACCAAATGTGGGCTGGAAGTAAAAGGGTATTTTGGAGGACACATAAGTGTTTTTAGGTAATTTGTGATCTCTGTAGTCCTCTCACCAGGTACCTTCAACCTGGTCTACAAGCTGTGGGTGTGGAGGACATTGTGCAAAGGGCAGAACATAGTACTATGTTATATATAGTATTCCACAATGCCTAGAGGACATTTATGAGGAATGGAAGGGGAGGGTGGTAGATGGGAAGCAGAGGGGTACCAGCAAAAGAGGAGGAAGAATAAACTGTGGTTGGTATGTACAATAAATGCAACATTTGTATTTCAATGAAAATATAAGCATAAATATGATAAATACTTGACTGATACCTCAGACTTATTTCTGACTAGCTCTTACAACTTAAACTAAGCCAATTCTATTTAATCTTATGTATTGCTAAGTGGCCCAAGGCTTTGTCTGTCCATGAGCTTGTCTTACTCCCTCTAAGTTTCCTAGTGACCCCACCAACTCTGCCCTTCTTCCCAGTGTCCTTAGTCTGGTTCTCCAGCCTATACTTCCTGCCTGGCTATCAGTCAATTAGCTTTCCATAAAATCAGTCTGAGTGACGGATCTTCACAGTGTACAAAAGTATTATTCCACATCAATATAATACATTATATAATATTAGATATGATATATCCATTAACAACAATACTTTTTGGTATTTACACAGTAACCACTTCTCAACCATTATCAAGCAACACTGGTATTTCCCCCCCTACTTCTCTGGTATAGAATGTCTCATTTCATCACTAATTAGAAATTTTTTTTTCAGTTTCACCCAAATCTGTCCAGCAACTTACTCTAGCCTCTTCCCCACTTACCTATGGAAAACTATTCAGTTACAAAAAAATCTTATTACAGAACATGATTTGGTAGATAGAATCAACTAGAAAACAAGTGTGCTAGCACAGACTCAGAAAGGAAACTCTTCTCTCTCATTAAGTTTCCTTATTCCAAATCGTCACATGTAAGAAGACAACCTGGAGTAACCACAGAACACACATCTTGCTTTCCTAATAAAAACATAAAGGAAAGTAAATCTTTTGCACAGGAATGGGCCAAGAATAAAAATTCCCAAAATTTGAATGAGTTTCCCTCAAGATATTCATTTCTAAAAATTTTGGAATGATTTTCAGATAGTATTAAAATTTATTTCTGATATGAGAATCAAGTATATCAAAAGCGTCACAACATTAATATAATATAAAATGAAAACAGCCTTTTCATAGTTTTTCAATAAAACTTTTGATTACATTTGGTTCTTTTTAAAGATCGAAAACAATTATCTGAGTTCTTTTGTGTATCTGTGACACATCACAATTAGTAAAGCATCTTTGAAAGGGAAGTGTTGTATTGGGATTGGAGATGCAGCAGGTTGGAGTCTGTGGTGGAGGAGCAAAGCCATGGCAGCAGCAACAACTGGGAGCTCACATGAAAATCTACAATCAAGAAGCAGAGACAATACACTAGGAGAATACACTAGAAGTCTCAAAATGTAGCGAGAGTGGCAGATATTCACCAAGAGCCCATAGCTTTTAATTATCTTCACATAAATCTACCAATGAGAACAAAGTTTCAAAAAACCTACTGGGCCATTTTCAAGTGAACCTCTACTGCAATTGTTTTCAAAGCTACTGCACTAATCATAATTTGAAAAAAAAGGAAAAACAAAAAATGACAGGAATTATTGCACTTACTATAAGTTGTTTTCATTTTATATATACTAAATATTAGGAGTTAAATTACAAATTTACACATTTCATAATCTCTTTTGTTCCACCTTAAAAATTTGTATTTGTTAATTGTATCTCCACCTCTATGAATGTTATTTTTTACACATTTGTGTCTCTCTCTTACTCTGTTTGTGTGTGTGCACATGTATGTCTACATGTGTGTGTATGTGTGCGTGTGTTCATTAGGAAGTGTACATGTGATTGTTAGAAGACAGCTTCAGAATATGATACACTATTTCCACCACATAAGATCCAGGGAGGCAATGCAGATAATTATATTTACTGGGAAGAATCATGACCAGCTGATGTAAAACACAGAAATTCCGGAACACACTACCAAAGAGGACAAACACTTTTGAGTTTTATTCATTCTAAACCCTTTGACTATTTTCCCACATTTATTCTAAACATAAAGGTTTTCAAAAGTGAAAAAATTTGTTGAGTATAGTAGGAACTGTGGATGATAAAAGATTTTCCACATGGTTATACATGTAAAGTCTGTCTCCAGAGTGAATTCTTTAGAATGGCAGCAGGAACTCTAAAGGCTTTGAACAATACTTAAATGGATATATGGATTAGAATTCTTTCCATTGTAAACCTGTGCATGCGGGTTACAGAAACTGGATGTGCTGAAGACTTTCCCACATTACAGATATTGTGTGGGATCTTTATGCTTGTTAAAATGAAAACAACAACAACAACAACAACAAGAAACAGTTTATATACAATGTTTACATACGAAAGGTTTCTATCCAGTGAAATGGTTCTACTCTTATACCAAGTGAATCTCCTAACGACTTTCTGATAATGGTTACACGCATTAGGTTACTGACTACTGTGAAGAGTTTCAGGTCTGTTATGATCACAAGAGCAGCTGAAGGCTTTTCCACAGTTCTTACGTGCATAAGGCTTTAATTTCAAGTGAACTATTTTATGTCTGTTAAGATAAATAGAATGAACAGCTTCCACATCTTTTACACACACAGGGTTTTTCTCAATTTTGATTTTTTTTCATGCAAATCAGGACAAGTTGAAGTGTTCCAAGTTTTACTGTAATGTATACGTGCAAAAGCCTTCTCTCCAATTTGAACCCTTTCAAGGATGTTCAGCTGACTGGAGCGGGTAAATGATTTTCCACACTGCTTAAATGTATAAGACTTCTCTTTAGTGAATTCTTTTCATGAGTCTTACAGGAAGTGAAAATGGTGAAGGCTTTTCCACAAGAGCTATATGAATAAGGTTTCTTGGCAGTGTGACTCCTGCCATGTCTGTTATAACTACTGGGGTTGTTGAATGACTTTCCACAATGCTTACATACATAAGGCTTTTTCTCCAGTATGAATTATTTCATGGATGTTCAGGTGACTGCTCCAGAAAAAGGTTTTCCCACAATGCATGCATATATAAGTCTAAAGCTTCTCTGTAGTGTGGCTCCTTTCATGTCTGCTACGACTACTGGGGTGGTTAAAGGCTTTTCCACAATGCTTGCATGCATAAGGCTTTTTTCCAGTGTGAATTATTTCATGAATATTAAGAAGACTGAGACAAGAAAAGGCTTTTCCACAATGCGTGCATGTATATTGACTCTCAACCCCGTGCATTCTTTCATGAATTCTACAAGCATTGGAACTGGTGAATGCTTTCCCACAATGCTTACATGCATAAGGTTTCTCTCCAGTGTGAATTCTTTCATGAATGTTTCGATAAGTAGAACTGGTGAACTTTTTTCCACAATGCTTGCAGGCATAAGGTTTCTCTGCAGTGTGGCTCCTTTCGTGTCTGTTACGACTACTGGGGTTGTTGAAGGCTATTCCACAATGCTTACATGCATAAGGCTTTTCTCCAGTGTGAATTATTTCATGTGTATTCAGAAGACTGGGACAAGAAAAGGCTTTCCCACAATACTTGCATGTATAATGCCTCTCTGCCGTGTGCATTCTTTCATGAATACTACAAGTATTGGAATTGGTGAATGCTTTCCCACAATGCTTACATGCATAAGGTTTCTCTCCAGTGTGAATTCTTTCATGAATGTTTTGATAAGTAGAACTGGTGAACTTTTTTCCACAATGCTTGCAGGCATAAATTTTCTCTGCAGTGTGGCTCCTTTCATGTCTGTTACGACTACTGGGGTGGTTGAAAGCTTTTCCACAATGCTTACATGTATAAGGCTTTTTTCCAGTGTGAATTATCTCATGGGAATTCAGAAGACTGGGACAGGAAAAAGCTTTTCCACAATACTTGCATGTATAATGCCTCTCTGCCGTGTGTATTCTTTCATGAATACTACAAGCATTGGAATTGGTGAATGCTTTCCCACAATGCTTACATGCATAAGGTTTCTCTACAGTGTGCATTCTTTCATGAATGTTTCGATAAGTAGAACTGGTAAACTTTTTTCCACAATGATTGCAGGCATAAGGTTTCTCTGCAATGTGGCTCCTTTCGTGTCTGTTACGACTACTGGGGTGGTTAAAGGCTTTTCCACAATGCTTACAGGCATAAGATTTCTCTCCAGTGTGAATTCTTTCATGAATGTTTCGATAAGAAGAACTGGTGAAATTTTTTCCACAATGCTTGCAGGCATAAGGCTTTTGTCCAATGTAACTGCTTTCATGACTGTTAGGATGATTGAATTGGGTGAAGGCTTTTCCATAATGTATAGAAGCATATGGCTTCTCTCCTATGTGAGTTACTTTATGTTTCTCAAAACATGCTGCATATTTAAATGTTTTGCCACATTCCCTACAAATGTACCATTTCTTTTCAATATGACTTTTTTCATGGTTGGTAAGATCGCTAGAATCAATGAAAGATTCTTCACAGAGATTACATACGAATTGTTTCACTTCTTTTTGGGTTCCTTCATCATTCTGATCATATGTGCATCTCATTAAGACATCCTCATTGAGTTTATCTCCAGTATGAGTTCTCTCTTGAGGCTGATCAAAACAGAGACTCCTAAAGGCTTCATTACATTGTTGAATTTTACCGGGTTTCTCTTCAGGAGAAGTTTCAAGTACTTGAAGTGATTCAGAATAACTGTTATCTTTCCAATGTTTCTGAGGTGTAAAAGCTTTTGCCACAGCTCCCTTAAACAGTAGTAGTTTCCCTCTAGTATTTTCTCTGAGATACCCATGTGAGGATAAATGACCAATAATGTTTCTTACATAAAATGAAGTCTCATCAGCTTTTACTCTGGATGGCATGTCTTTATTGATCATACTCTCTAGATAAGATTGCTGGTTTTTATCACATTCAGTATAACATTCATATTCATGGTCTTTCTCAATCCCCTGAATTCTGCAAACAAAAAAAAAAAATGAGAAAAGCAATACTGTAGCCAAGAGAAATATTGGAGTCTGGCCTGTGTGGAACACAACTATATTATCTCAGAGGGAATAGAATAATGGTATCAATGTCAAGGACATTATGTAGACATGGAAAGACCCTGCCATGTGTGAAGAAGTAGAGTATTGATTTTACTTCTCTAAGAATTATGAAGGAGCTGGATCACAGGCTTGGAACTTAAGAATAATTCTTAATCTTTAAGAAAACTAGATTTAATGACAGGGATTCATGACAAGAGTTGTGGGGTTTTTTTTTGTCACAGCAAAAGAAAGCAGACAAAGCACAATACTGATGCTCAAAACCTCATAAGTATGAACAGAAAGCAAAACCTTTTGCATATAATGGGATGTTTTGTGTAATAATCCACTGGAAACACTTATTCTGCCCTCAGTCCCACTTGACATATTTGTAATATTAATAGATTAAAGACATGAAATACACAAATATTGAATATCACAATACAATGCTCCATTACAGGAATTTGTGTAGAATCATGTTTCACTTAGGTATATTTGGAGCGCTTGACAAATTCTCAATTGTCCTTTGAGTCCTAAATGTGTACTATAAATTATTTTCTACTGAATAAAAAATTACCCCATATTCCTGCTGAGATCTTTAGAGTCCTCTTCAATATTTCCCTCTAGTGCTTGTTCTAGAAAAAAATTCAGAGAATACATAATGACACATTCATGTTCAACATAAAAATTACTGCAATCTAATTCTTATGATATGGGTATGCATACTAAATTCACCACATTTTCACTTCAAGAATTCAATACCAACATGACACGCATAAGCATGACACAGTTCTTCACTGACTGCATAAGCCATGGGTATATGTAGTACTTTTTACCTAGGGAGATCAGGTTCAAATATGTTTCCTTCATCACATCTCTGTAGAGCTTCTTTTGATGAGAATCCAGCACCGCCCACTCTTCTGAGGTGAAGTTCACTGCCACATCCTCAAAGTTTACTGGCCCCTATGAGTACATATATTAATTAGAATGATTTATTTTCACTGAAAGACCAATAAGATATATAATCATCTTGTATATATATTTCTGAAGAAACCTCTAAATTATTATATAAATAGGATTTACTGAAGAATATCCATGGGATGCTATCTTGATTACTTGATGACCCACTATCTCATTTACTATTCTTTAGTTGTGTCACTCACTAGCAGCTTCACACTTCTGAATTTTATGAACTGGACACTTCAATTGTGATATGAAATAAACTGTTTGTGCCTTATGTCACTTTTCTCAGAATAATCTGTGACAGCCAGAGGAAAAGCCTGACATAAGGTATAGCAATGCGGAAATCCAAGCAGCAATAGAGGAAGGAAGAAGGTGGAGTCAAGATGATGCCATGAAGCTGCTGAAGGAGAAAAACACCAAAACTCTTCCAGTAAACCACACCTTCATGCTGACTCATAGATTAATAGAAATGGGTTAATTTAAGATGTAGAGTTAGTTAATAAGAAGGCTTATCTAATAGGTCAAAGAGTAGATAATCAATATTAATACAGCTGTGGGCGCTAGTGATTAGGACCCAGTGGGTGGAGAGAAACTGGTCCAGGGCAATCAGAGGAATGGAGAATATCTGTAACTACATAATGGTGCCCAATGTTTGGAAACATACATCTACATAAAGCCTAAAAAAGCTTTAATAAAGGGTTTCTAGACCCACAAAAAGAGGAGTCGAATTGGAGCTTCCTGGTAGCTGTATTTTTTCCAGACAGCCTCTGTTTGCTGGTGGGTAGGAGAGACACTGCTCCTTTAAGACCTGCCATCTGCTGATCATGCTGTGTCTGGGATGATTCTGGCTCTTTCATGAGGTCCTGCTGTGGAGCATTCATGGGGTTTGTGAGCAATATGTAGCAATCAGTTTGCTGGAGCTGGGGTGACGAACATGGTTTGCAGAGCTAGTGATAATTGTACTCCACCATATTGAAAGGCTGAGAGAGGCAGAGTCAGCATCCAGGGACTCAGAAACCATACTGCTTACCATGTAAATAAACTAAACAAAGCAAAAATCTCCTTGTTAGAAAAGGATTTCAGATACATAATAGGACAGTTTTAGACATAAAACCCCTCTAACGGAGACATAGTGTGTTTCAAAAATGTGCACAGACTTTGGTGAGAGAGGACAAATATAGATAGGTATAAAAGGAAAGTTTTGAAAAATAAAGAATTTGAAGAGAAAGTAAAAATAATATAAAACAAATAAGTCACATAAAGATGGAAAATACACAGAGAACCTAGATTGTGCATATTATTGTGTTTTCTTTGAATTTTTCACTGCAGAGAGTCATTTGATTCTAGGGACTGATAAGCTAAACCAACAAATATATGTTAAAGGTATCTTGACTTCAAAATTTGAGTTTAAGGATATGTTACTTTGATAAAGATGTTCTGCTTTTGTTTTCACAGATGAAGAGCACCCGTAGATTCCTTCCAGGCCAATGTGGTTTGATAGAACAAGAACCACCAAAAAAGGTCTCCATGAACCCTAAAAATACTTCACCCAACAACAGCAGAAAGCACTTTGGAAAAACCAATGCACAAAAACTCGAAATGTTTGCTTATAATTGTTTGCTTTCATTTAAAGTGAGTTGATTAGAAGTGGTTAACAGTCACAGTCAATCTCCTTTTTTAAAAGAGGGTGGGATGGAATATGATATAGAAATGAATACTTTACATTGGTATGGACTTTGATTTCTCGGCAAAAATTTTAGGTCAATTTTGTTATATGTATATTTCTAGTCTTGTTTAAAGTATTAGATTTATATAGTTCATTTAAAAATGTAATGCATAATTAAAAATTACAGAGAGTCATTAACAATAGTCAAACTTGTAATCATGTAAGTTATGTTTCCTAGATATACAGAGATATTTTTTAGTTAGATAATCTTCAACACTTCAAAGTCCTAGAGAATATGGCATTTAAAAGGCTTTAAGAACTTAAGACTTTTTCAAAAGTAAGACATGTCTGCTCTGGCAGTACCAATTACTTGGAGAGGTTGATAGGCACTGAAGTAATTCATTACAGAATTTGCCTTCAATGAGAAAGGCACTAGCCATTTGAGCAAGAAAATGCTCTTCCCTGGACTGATTCACAGTATTCTGTATAAACTGGACATGCAGGACCCACAGCTGGCAAGGAGACTACCTCCCCCTGAACCCAGCTTCAGGCATTGCCTGAATTCCCAACAAGTCAGGATACCTTTCTCATCAAAGTTGTAGGTATCCTGAATACCTTCCCTTCACAGTTGTAGGTAGGTATTGCCAGACTTTCAGATAAGTCAGGGTACCTTTCTCTTCATAGCTGTAGATATTCAGCATACTGTCCCTAAACAGTCATAGGTATAGTCTGGCTTCCTGATAAGTCAGTATACTTTTCTCTCCAGAGCTGTAACACTTGCAGGTATAACCTGACTTCCCAACAGTCAGGATACATTTTCGTCCAGAGATGTAATACTTGCAACTAATACACAACTCTCACTGAACAATGAACCTAGCAACTTTTGGGTATCCTTCTTGGAACAATGAACTTTATAGGCTGTATCAATATCTTATTAACAAATTGCAACAATGGCCATCCAGATAGAAATTACACAGAGAAATAAAGAAACAGATGTTATGACTTAAAAAGATGTAGCAGATATCTATAAATACACAAACACAGAATTTACCTTCTTATAACCCTTCTACAAAACTGACTATGGAACTGACTATGGAACCGTTTCCAAAACTGACTATGTAATTGGCCATAAAGCAAGTCTCAACAGATATAAAAAATTGAAATAAACCACCAAGGATTAAAGCTGGATTTCAACAACACCAGAAAGCCTACAAACTCATGGAAACTCAGCAACTTTCAACTGAGTTACCACTTGATCAAGGAAGAAAAAAAGACAGAAAGAAGTTAAAGAATTCCTAGAATTCAATGAAAATAAATGGTCAACATAGCTAAATTATGGGACACAATGAAAGCTGTACTAAGAATAAAGTTCATAACACTAAGTTGCTTATGCAAAATTTGGAGAGATCTCATACTCATGACTTAACACATACAAAGCTGTAGGGCAAAAGGAAGCATAGAGTAGACGGCACAAAATAACCAAACTGAGAACTGAAATCAATAAAACACAAAGAGAACAATGCAAAGAACCAATGTATCAAGAAAATCAGCAAAATAGATAAACCCTTATCAAAAGTAAAGGCAGAGAGCAAATATTCAAAATAACAAAATCAGAAACAAAAAAAGATACATAATAACAGACTCTGAAGAATTCCATAGGATCATTAGGTCACATTCAACAACCTTTACTACATAAAATTGAAAAAAGGAATGGACAAGTTTCTTGATAGATACCACTTATCAAAGTTTAAACAATATCAGATAAAAAGTCTAAAGAGACCAATCCCTCCTAAAGAAATAGAAGTAGTCAATATCTTATTTTTGATTTTTTTATTGCTTTATAAATAATATCATTCAAAATTTCCACTTCCTCCCCTCCTACCATTTCCCTCCCACTCTCACACTCACTCTCCCCCCTTCCCTTCCAGTCTTAAGAGAGGGCAGGGTACCCTGCCCTGTGGGAAGTCCAAGGCCCTCCCCCCTCCATCCAGGCTTAGGAAGGTGTGCATCCAAATAGACTAGGATCCCAAAAAGCCAGTACATGCAGTAGAGACATATCCCAGTGTCATTATCATTGGCTTCTCAGTCGTTCCCAATTGTCAGCCATATTCAGAGTGTCCAGTTTGATCATATGTTCATTCAGTCCCAGTCCAGCTGGCTTTGGTGAACTCCCATTAGCTCAGGCACACTGTCTCAGTGGGTGGACCAACCCCTCGCAGTCCTGACTTCCTTGCTCATATTCTCCCTCCTTTTCTTCTTCAACTGGACCTTGGGAGCTCAGTCCAGTGCTGCAATGTGAGTCTCTGTCTCTATCTCGGTCTGTCACCAGACAAAGGTTCTATGGTGATATTCAAGATAGTCTGCCGAAAAAGGTACCGAGCCATGTGGCTAACATAGATAAGAATAATGGGGTAGTATAAGTTACAAGAGTTAGCAAGAAGCCTGAGCTAATGAGCCAATCAGTTTATCACTAACATAGACCTCTGTGTGATTTTTTTGGGGACTTAATGGCTGAGGGAACTGGGCAGAACAAGGATTGAGCAGGACAAAAACCTCAATCAACACTCCTACAGCTGCTAAACACCTTTATTGAGGTGGTTGGATAAAAGAGTAACAAAAAAAGTTGCTCTCCTATATATAACTGACAAACAGGCTGAGAAAGAGATCTGAGAATCAGCACTCTTTACAACAACATCAAGTAATCATGGTATAACTCTAACCAAGCAAGTGAAAGACCTGTATGACAACAACTCCATGTCTTTATAGAAAGAAATCGCAGAAGATATCAGAAGATGGCAAGATCTCCCATGCTTTTGAATCAGTAGGATTAACAGAGTAAAAATGGCCACCTTACCAAAAGCAATCTATAGATTCAAAGTAACACCCATTAAAGTCCCAACACAATTCTTTACATACTTTGAAAGAAACATACGCAATTTCCTTTGAATATAAAACCAACAAAAAACTCCAGCACTATACAAATAATCCCATATAATAAAAAACTTCTTGAGACATTTTCCTTTATCCAAGTTAGCCTTCTCATCTTCTATGTAATTATTTTAACTATTATTAGCCAGAATGATCTCAAATGCTGTTAATATTTCCTTCAATTTGAGGAGACAAATCAGAAAGTAAAGGGGAAGTTGCGACCTGTATGGATCCTAGCAGATAAGAGATGCCAACACCATGGATGACTGCCAAGGACAGAAGCAGGTGTGGACTTGATGTAGTCTGAGTCAAGGAGTCAAGTGATGTGTGCTGTGAACAGTAGGACAGAAAAGTTGTGTCCCCTAAGCCCTTTGGAGACTAGACTGTCATAAGTGAAGGCCAGATGAAGGACACTGAGTTACAGATTGTGATTAACATTGATGAATTTGGAATTTGCTTTGAGCTAATGGTACCTGTTCTCTGCTTCTTTCCTTTTGAAATAAGAAGTGCATATCTTATACTTGATTTTATAGGAGCCCACAGAGGAGACATTTTGGATTTAAGAGACACTAAATATTTAAAGTGTATATTTTTTTTTAAGACAGTGGAGATTCCTAAATTTATACTCTGATTTATATTGTGATAATAATGTGAGATCATGGGGACAAATAGGAAAGGAAAAGTTATGCTATAATAGTGGTGAATCTGTATGTCAAGATCACAAGGAGTCAATTGTGCTGGCTAGGTTTTTGTCCCCTTGACACAAGCCACAGTCATCTGAGAAGAAGGAACACCAACTAGGAAACTGTTCCATCAGATTTGCCTGTATGCAATCTCTGGGGGTATTTTTTTGATTTGTAATTGATGTGTGAGGACCTAATCTGTTCTGGATACCACATTGATGCGGGAGAATTGTCTGTATTCTGTCAATCATATTTTAATAAAACGCTGATTGGCCAGGCAGGCAGTATAGGCGGGTCAACCAGACAGGAAGTAGAGGCGGGGCAATGAGAATAGAATAAGGCTACGGAGGAGGAAGGTCCCTCAGCTATTCCTGCGCAGACCACTGAAGAGGCAACATGTAAGCTGGCACACTGAGAAAGGTACTGAGCCCATGTGGCTAACATAGATGAGAATAATGGGTTAATATAAGTTATAAGAGTTAACAAGAAGCCTGACCTAATGAGCCAATCAGCTTTATAGCTTATAGAGATCTCTGTGTGATTGATTTTCCTTGGGGCTTGCTGGCTTGTTGGGGTACCGGGCGGGACAGAAACCCCAACAAGCCGGCCCCCACATGTTACACTACATATTATCATATGGGCCTGAGTTCAGTGAGAAATGAAGCTGAGCAAGTGTTGAAGAGCAACCCAGTAAGCAGTGTTCTTTTCTAATTCCTGTTTCAGTCCTAGTGTATATCTCAGCAATAAAAAGCAAATTAAAAATAGCTCTTCTGCAACAGTGAATAAATGGGACCTCCTGAAACTGAGAAGCTTCTGTAAAGCAAAGGACACTGTCATTAAGACAAAAAGGCATCCTACTGAATGGGAGAAGATCTTCACCAACCCTGCATCAGACAAAGGTCTGATCGCCAAAATATATAAAGAACTCACGAAACTAAACATTAAAATTCTAATTAACCCAATTAAAAAATGGAGTACCGAACTGAATAGAGAATTCTCAACTGAAAAAGTTCAAATGGCCAAAAGATCTTGTTCAACCTCCTCAGAGATCAGGGAAATGCGAATCAAAACAACTTTGAGATACCATCTTACACCTATCAGAATGGCTAAAATCAAAAACACCAATGATAGCCTATGCTGGAGAGGATGTGGGGTAACAGGAACACTCCTCCATTCCTGGTGGGGATGCAAACTTGTGCAACCACTTTGGAGATCAGTATGGCGTTTTCTCAGAAAATTGGGAATCAGTCTACCTCAGGATCCAGCAATACCACTCTTGGGAACATACTCAAGAGATGCCCAATCATACTACAAAAGCATTTGTTCAACTATGTTCACAGCAGCATTATTTGTAATAGCCAGAACCCGGAAACAACCTAGATGCCCCTCAATGGAAGAATGAATAAAGAAAGTATGGAACATATACACACTAGATTACTACTCAGAGGTAAAAAACCATGACATCTTGAATTTTGCATGGATGGAAATAGAAAACACTATCCTGAGTGAGATAACCCAGACCCAAAAAGATGAATATGGTACATACTCACTCATTAGTGGACTCTAGCCAAAAACAAAGGACATTAAGACTATAGTTTGCAAGCCTAGAGAAGTCAAATAACAAGGTGAACCAAAAGAGAAACATATAGATCCTCCTGGAAATTAGAAGGAAACAAGATTGCTGGGAAAAAGTTGGGAGCATGGAGGTGGGGTTAGGGGTGGGGGTGGTGGAAGGGGAGAGGGGAAGAGAGAAGGGACAAAGGAAAGACTGGAGAGAGCTAGGGGGAAGTGGGAGGGTGGAAATGGAGGAAGGGCGGATATAGGAGCAGGGAAGAAGATATCTACATTAAGGGAGCCATTTTAGGGTTGGCAGGAGACTTGGCTCTAGAGGGGATCCCAGGTGTTCATGGGGATGTCCCCAGCTAGGTCCTTGGGCAGCAGAGGAGAGGGTGCCTGAACTGGCCTTGTCCCACTATCACACTGATCTCGAATATCACCATAGAATCTTCGTCTAGCTACGGATGGAGACAGAGACAGAGACCCTCATCAGAGCAATGGACTGAGCTCCAAAGGTCCAGTTGAATAGCAGAAGGAGGGAGAAGATGAGCAAGGAAGTTTGGACCACGAGGGGTTGGTCCACCCACTGAGACAGTGTGAGCTCTAATGGAAGCTCACCAAATCCAGCTGGATCGGGACTGAATGAGCATGAGCATGCAATCAAACCAAACTCTCTGAATGTGGCTGACAATGGGGGATGACTGAGAAGCCATTGATAAAGGCACTGGAACTTGTTTCTACTGCATGTACTGGCTTATTGGGACCCTAGTCTCTATGGATGCAAGGCTTACTAGGCTTGGATGTAGGGTGAAGGGCCTTGGACTTCCCACAGGGCAGAGTTCCCTGCCTTCCCTTAAGGAGGGAGGGTGAGGGAGGAGGGTGAGTGGGAGAGCAGGAGGGGATTGATATGAGAGGAGGAAGTGTAAATTTTTGAAGGGAAAAAAATAAAAAAAAAACAAAACAAAAAAATAAAATAAAACATACATACATTATACACACATACACATATGGTCTCTATGGTCTTGAGAATATAAAGAAACCAACATTACTGGTTAGGTTGTCTCACAAAAACATGTAACCTTCAGAGAAAGGAACATAAATAAAACCCATGTGACATTAAAAAAAAAATTAGAAAAAAAAATAGCTCTTCTGAGGTTAATGAGGTAACTCAGAAGTTTAGGGAACTGACGGCTTTTCCAGAGAGACCATGCTTGATTCCCAGCACCCCGGGTGGCAAACAACTGTCTGTAACTGCAACCCCAGGGGATGGGGATTTTATACACTCTATTTTCCCTTCCTTCCTTCCTTCCTTCCTTCCTTCCTTCCTTCCTTCCTTCCTT